AGCTGTTGTGTGTTTTTTTGTTTTTTTTTAAGTGACTGTACATACTAGTCTTGGGGCAGTGGAAGAAGGATGGGGGTGGTTAGATGCCCGATGTTGTTAGGTGCCGTCGAGTCAGCTCCACTCATAGCAACCCTACGAACAACAGAACGGAACACTGCCCAATTCTTTACCATCCTCACACAACTGTTGTTATGCTGGAGGCCTGATGTTGCTGCCATTGTGACAATCCATCTCGTTGTGGATCTTCCTCTTTTTCTCTGACCTCCACTTTACCAAGCATGATGTTCTTCTCCTGACAACATGTCTGAGGTATGAGAGACGAAGTCTCGCCATCCTAGCTTCTAAAGGGCATTCTGACGGAACCACTTCCAAGACAGATTTGTTTGTTCTTCTGGCAGCCCATGGTACTTTAAATATTCTTCTCCAACACCATAACTCAAATGCACTGATTCTTCTACAGTCTTCCTAATTCACTGTGCAACTTTCACATGCATATGAGGTTGCTAAAAATATCATGGCTTGAGTCAGATGCACCTTAGTCCTCAAACTGATTACCTTTGCTCTTGAACACTTTAAAGAGATTTTGTACACCAAATCTCCCTAATGTAATATGTCATTTGATTTCTGACTGCTGCTTCCATGAATGTTGATTGTGGATCCAAGTAAATGAAGTCTTTGACAGCTTCAATCTTCTCCATTTATCATGATGGTATTTATTGGTCCAGTGGTGAGGATTTTTGTTTTCTTTACATTGAGGTGCAATCCATACTGGAAGCTGTGATCTTTGATCTTCACCAGTATTTTAAGTCCTCTGTACTTTCAGCCAGCAGCACTTATCATCTGCATACTACAGGTTGTTAATGAGTCTTCCTCTAATCCTAATGTCACATTCTTCATATAACTGAGCTTCTTGGATTATTTGCTCAGCATACAGATGGGTTAGTATGGTAATATAATACAACCCTGTCACACAGCTTACCTAATTTTAAACCATTCAATATCACTTTGTCCTGTTCAAATGACTGCCTCTTGGTCTATGTACAGGTTCCTCATGAGCATAATTGTTATTGTTGTTGTTAAGTGCCATTAAGTCACTTCTGACTCTCAGTGACCCTGTATAGGGTTTCTGAGGAGAATGGTAGGTTTGAACTGCCAACACTGTGATTAGCAGTCCAGGGCTTACCCTACAGTAGGGCTTACCCTACAATGAGCATAATTAAGTGTTCTGAAATACCCATTCTTCATAATGCTATCCATAGCTTGTCATGACCCAAACAGTCAAAACCCTTTGCATAGTCACAAAGCACAGATAAGCATCTTTCTAGTATTCTCTTTTGGTCAAGATGCATCTGAATCTGGCTTCAATTTCTGGAGTTCCCTGTCAATGTTGGCTGCCATTTTTTAATTCAGCAAAAATTTATATGTACATGATTTGAATGATATTGTTCAATGGTTTCCACATTCCATTGGGTCACCTTTCTTTGGCATGGACACAAATATAGATCTCTTCTAGTCAGCTGGCCAGGTAGCTGTCTTCCAAATTTCTTGGCATAGATGAGTGAGCGCCTCCAGTGAGTCATCAGTTTGTTGAAAGATTTCAGTTTGTATTATCAATTTCTGGAGCCTAGATTTCACCAACGCCTTCAGTATAGCTTAGACTTCTTCCTTCAGTACCATGGGTCCTTGTCATAACCTCTTTTTTTAAAGTTTTTATTGTAAATTGAGTGATAGTTTACATGGAAGAACATCAGCTTTACATTCATTCTATCATATTTCATTTCATTGCAATGATATTACAATCCCCTCCATGAATCATCATTAACAGCATTTGCTTCCATTCCCCTTTTTAATTGATGTACACCAAAGCACTCAGGAATATATAACCATTCAAATAACCAAAGGGTATACCCCAACAGCCTGCCCCCCGGCTGTCTCAGCACACAGCCCCTCTCCCTCCCTGAGTCCAGAGTCCCCAGTCGCTCCATCTCTCCATGTCATCTTCTCTGCCTCCATCTCTGGCGTCGCTGCTTCTCTGGATAGGGTTCCACACTCCACTCTTCTCCCTCGATGGTCCCAGGGACTTCCACTCCTGAACTGTAAGATCAACCACTTCCCTCTTTTGGATCATAACTACCTCTTGAAAAAGTTGAACATCAACCTTTTTTTTTTTTTTTTGATACCGTTACTCTGTGATTAACTTCCATCTTCTTTTGATGCTTTCTGCATCATTCAGTACGTTGCCCATAGAATCCTTCAATATTGCAAGTTGAGGAAAAATACTGAATTTTTTCTTCAGTTCTTTCAGCTTGAGAAATGCTGAGTGTGTCTTTCTAAATCCAGGTCTTTGTAGAATTCATTGTAATACTTGATTTTGTCTTCTTGAACTGCCCTTTGAAAGTTCCTGTTCAGCCTTTTTACATCTTCATTTCTTCCATTTGCTTTAGCATCTCTACACTAGAGAGCAAGTTTTAGAGTCTATTCTGACATCCATTTTAGTCTTTTCTTTCTTTTCTGTCCTTTTTAATGACCCTTTGCTTTCTTCCTGATGATGTTATGGATGTCTTCCAACAGGTCTTCTGGCCTTTTATAATTAGTGTCTAGTGCAGCCAATCTGTTCTTGAAATGAGCTCTAGATTCAGGTGGGATGCGTTCAGTGTCATATCTCAGGGACTTGTGTTTATTTTCTTCGGCTTCAGTCTGACCTTACATATGACCAACTGAAGGTCGGTTCCAGTCTTCCCCTGGCTTTGTTTGGATTGATCATATGGAGTTTCCCCACCATCTCTTTCCACAGACACCGTTAATTTGATTTCTGTGTGTGCCATCTGGTGAGATCCCTGTCTAGTCACTTTTTATGTTGTTTTAAAAGTTATTTGCAATGAATAAGTCATTGATCTTTTTAAAATTCTGTCATGTGATCTCCAGCATCATTTCTATCACCAAGGCCAAATTTTCCAACTAGATACTTTCTTTTTGTTTCCAACCATCACATTCCAATCACCAGTAGTTATCTATACATATTGATTACATGTTTGATCAATTTCAGGCTGAAGAAGTTGAATTCTTGAATTTCATCATCACTTGCTTTATTTAGTGCAAATCTGAATCACAGTGGTATTAACTGGTCCTTCTTGTAGGTGTACGGATAGTATCCTATCACAGATAGTGTTGTACTTTAAGATCGATCTTGAAAGGTTTTTCCTGACAATGAATATGATGTCATTCCTCTTAGATTTGTTGTTCCCGGCAGAGTTATACAATTGATTGATTGATTTAAAATGGCTAACACCATGCACGTGCTGGTGGGTCTACAGAGACCTGCGCCTGGGAAAAGAAGGCCCGAGCTCAGCGACTGTGCGACTGCAGGCGATGGCAATAAAGAGCTGGGACCAGGGGCTTCTGAGGGACTTCCAAGGATACTGGGGCAGGAGATAAATAAATCATAGAGACCAGAGAGGAGCTAGACATCAGAGCGCAAAGTGGCAAATTCAAGCCACTCTTCTGTGAGGGCCTGTAAGAACACTACTATCAGTTCTGAGCGTGTGTGTTCACACAGACTCACACACAGACACACCCACTGCCACTGAGTCAGTTCTGACTTGCAGCGACCCTGTAAGCACGAAGCACAACGGCCCCATGGGGTTTCCAAAGCTATCAATCTTTAGGGAAGCACATTGCCACATCATTCTCCCATGGAGCAGCTACTGAGTTTGAACCGCTGACCTTACGATTAAAAGTCTACTGTTTAACCCACTATGCAGCCAGAGCTCCTAGATAGAGCTATTGTTGTTGTTAAGTTGCCATGGAGTTGATTCTGACCCACAGCGTCCCTGTATAGGGTTTCCAAGGAGTGGCTGGTGAGCTTGAACTGCTAACCTTGTGGTTCAAACTGTCTTGCAGTCCAGCACATTAACCCACAGCACCATACCAGGACTCCATAGATAAAGCTAAAGAGCTGTGTTGTGACGTGCTGTCGAGTCGATTCCGACCCACAGCGACCCTGTATAGGGTTTCCACGGAGCAGCTGGTGAACTTGAACCGCCAACCTTGCAGTTCAAATGACTTTGCAATCTGGTGCATTAACCCACAGTGCCACACCAAGACTATACACACATATAAAACACATATATACACAAAATAAGTATATCTACATCATATGTTTTCAGACACATATACACACATCAGCTGACTTGAAATGTGTGCCAAATATGGCACTACCTACCTATATTTATAGCAGTTCAAGCTCACCAGCTGCTTCTTGGAAACCCTATACAGGGTCACTGTGAGTCAGAATCAACACAACGGCACTTAACAACAACCACCTATAGTCACAGGGTGCAAATATATCTAACACAAAAACAGTTGCTAATCATTTTTAAAGCACTTTCAGTAATACAAAAAAAAAGGCTCTGTTAACAATTTTAAAGCATCTAAGTAATACCAAGGAGTCCTGGTGTGGAGCTGTGGGTTAATGAGTCAGACTGCAAAGCCATTTGAACTGCAAGGTTGGTGGTTCAAGCTCACCAGCTGCTCCTTGGAAACCCTATAAAGGGTCGCTATGGGTTGGAACCGACGCGACAGCACTTAACAACAACAACAATGCCAAAAGACCCTACAAAACCCCAAACCAAACAGAATTGCTCAGAGAAGTAATAAGAAAACTGTCCAAGCTATAGTGGCAGGTCTAGGACTGCCAAGGACAGGTCTGGGACTCAGACCCAATGCTCTTCCCCGAGTGTAATCAGGTAGGTGACAGCTACACAGAAAAGCAGCAAATGCTTTTTGATTGGCATATGCCTTCCTGCCAGTGGTACCAGCATGTAATAGGAAGGGTAAACCAGAGCCCTGTGTGCACAGCTGGAGCTCAGGAAGCCCGACATCCACCTCTCCCACCAGCACACAGTGAGGCTGAGAATAACAGGGCCTCACCCTTCAGGGCAGCCCCTCACCGTAAGACAGCGGGTCTCATCTGAACCATGGTGTTATCTGCTCATACATACTTGAAAACCATCCGCTTGATTTTCGCCTTCACTTCCTGTCGGGTGGACAAAGAATCCAAGGGAAATTCCAGACGAGGGGTAGAACTGAACTGGAATGCTCCCACTCGGACCTGCAGGAGGAGACAGGCGGCCTGAGACCAGAGTCAAGTCATAGACGTTCCTAAGAGAACTCAAAAGGACAAAAAAGTTTAACAACCCTACCTCTCGGTAGTGTTGCGGTTACAATTCGGGCTGTTACCTCAAGTTCAGCAGTTCAAAACTACCATTAGTTCTGCAGGAAAAAGAGGAGGCTTTCTGCTTCCGTAAAGACTTATAGCCTCAGAAAACCTGTAGAAAGTCGCTATCAGTTGGAACTGACTCCTTGGCACATAACCAAGCAACCAACCAACAAGCCTCCTGTCCACTCAGCAAATACCAGAGCTGGAGCTATGTCCAGTATCCAACAAGAGGGTTCCAAAGTCCAAGAGGAAAAGGGAAACAGGAATCTGTCGCTGTTTTAACTGAAAACCTTCAATTCAATCTTCTTAACCCACGTTCTCCCAAAGCAACCAACCAGATGCTGTCGACTCTTACTCATGGGGACCCATGTAATGTCAGAGAACTGCTCTCCATAAGGTTTTCGTGTCCATGACCTTTCGGAAGCACGCAGACTCTAAGACTTTTCTGCCCAGGCACCTCTGACTCGCTAGCCTTTCAGTCAGCAGATGGAAGATGAGGAGGTGTGAGGGAGAACTTTTCCCCATAAACCTACTTTAAAGGAATCATGTGAAGGATTTACTCAGTTAATTTAAAAAAAAAAAAAAAAAACAATTCTCCAGAGACCAGTGTATTTACTGAGGTTAAAAGGGAAAGATAGAACTTCAAAACGAGACAAGATGGAAGCAGCTTGTGGTATTTAGTTTAATTGGTGGTTTGGGAGCAAACCCATAGTCTTTCGTCCCATTTACTGTATACATCAGGAGAAAGGCTACCCCCATCCCGGCCCTCCACACTGTAATCACTCCACAGCAGTTACCATCTTAAAGCCAGGAAGTTCTTTCTCAGCTTGTAGGTGTTGAGAGGATGACTTCAAACACCTAAAAATCTACCTCGAGAAGCGAGCTCCACACAGACCTTCTTTCACTGTGCTTGGAAGATACAGCGTTTTTTACAAATTGAAGGTTGAGTCGAACTAATCTGTCAGCACCCATTTTTCAATAGCAGGAGCTCAACTTTGTGTGTATCTGTCATATTTTGGTAATTCTCACAGTATTTTCATACTTTTTCATCATTCCAATGCAGTTTGACTACGAACCAAAACCCTGTTCACATCAAGTCAATTCCAGCTCATGGGCCCGTCTAGGACGGAGGAGAACTGCTCCTAAAGTCTCAGAGATCAAGGAATCCTGATGAAGACGCTGGAGGAGAAGCACAACACTGTGAACTGAAAGGTCAGCGGTTCAAGGCCACTAACTGCTCCTCAGAAACCCTGTGAGTTGGAACTGACTCCAGAGCACTTAACAACAACAACAAACCTTTAACAGAAGCACACAGCTTCATCTTTCTCCAGATGCAGCAGTGGGTTTGAACTACAGACCCCGAGGTTAGCAGCCCAATGCTTAATGCATGGCATCACCAGGACTCCTTAATAGACTACAGTATAGTATAAACGTTGACATGTACCAGGGAACCAAAAAATTAGGGTGACTTGCTTTGTTGGGAGGTTCACTTTATTGCAGTGGTCTGAAACAATCCACAGTCTTTCCGAGGTCTGCTTGTCCCTGAAAATGTCTTTCCTCAAAGTTATAGGAAGTAAAGCAAGGTTTCAAATCAGATCTGTTGTATCCCAGAGAAGAACACAAAAACACATCAGCAATGATATAAAACCTGAAGCCACAAATCAGTCTCAACATGTGAAATCATCATCCCAAGAACCTCCTAAAGCATCCCAACAATTCTGCTTGAGCATGCTAGAGGTCAGGCTGCTAGCTCATCCCCACAAATACCAAAAGAGGTCGGTTGCCACTGAGTAAACTAAGGCTCATAGAGACACCATGGGTTTTCATTGGCTGGTTTTCCAGAAGGAGGCCACCAGATCTTTCTTCTGAGCTGCCTCTGGGTTGGACTTGAACCTCTAACGTTTGTATTAGCAGCTGAGCAAGTTATCCATGTGGATCACCCAAGGACTCCTCCTCCTTCCAACAGACACACAATTCTGTGAGTAATACCTCTTACTTCCCTGAACATCCTGGGTCTTAGCTCTGTCTCCTTAATAAAAAAAGAGCCACCCTGCCCCTTTTCACACCCTGCAAATGATAGGCTCTCCCGGGTACACGTTTGCAGGACTCCCGCAGGCCTGACTCCTTGTTTCCTGACTCCCGCAGGCCTGAGCCACCCTGCCCCTTCTCACACCCTGCAAATGATAGGTTCTCCCAGCTACACGTTTGCAGGACTCCCGCAGGCCTGACTCCCTGTTCCAGGCACGAGTTTTCCAATGCTCTAGTCTAAACATCAGCTCCCACGTTCTCAGTGCAGTCAGGCAATGTTGACGTTCAATTTCCTGCACTCTGGGGACCTGTGGGCTGGGGCAGCTACTCCAACAATACCAACCATGAAGTATCGGCCATGTTTTTCTTACCTGACCAGCTTCTGCCCTCCATGCCACATTGCCAGCTGTCCACTTGCCCTCTGAGAGTCATTAGTTACCTCACTGGGAGAGACCCCTGGCTCAATAGAGCGAGTACTGGGCTGAAAGCCAAGAGCTTCATGAAGTTCTTCACACTTAGCTCTGTCCAGAGTTTGCTGTGTGACTCTAGGCAGTCACTCAGCTTCTCTGAGCTCCCGTTTCCTCCTCTGCAGAATGTTTCTCTATGTGCCATTCTCCAACCATCTGTACAGAGAGCTCTTCTCTCCCAACCTACCATCCTCAGGGATTCACAGGCCACCCATTTCAGGGCATGCCACATCAACAACCGAAGTCAATAGTGTCTGTCTGGGTACATTTCCTCCATCAGTAACTACTGAAGCATCACAGGGATTTTCTTCTCAGAAAAGGGGTCCTGGGCACAGAAGGTTGGAGTTTCAGCTGTCCTTGGCCCAGACCCTTCAGGTCTGTATGGAGGGCCGACATCACAGTTGGAACTTCTGATCTGGCCATGCCCAGCCTGCACGATGTCTCCTATGGTGTGTGTGTGTTGGACCGAGTAGTAGTATTTTGTTCTGTTGTATACCAGGGTTGTTATGAGTCAGAACTGACTCGATAACACTTTAACAACAATAAGGCAGCTTGTGGCAACCCTTCCAAAGTGACATTCATTTCTAGGGAAAAATCTGGCCCAAATTAAAAGTCAATTTTGCTCCTAAATTCAAGAGGTTTTACTAGGATTAAACCAGGAATGTCATCTTGGAAAACCACTTCTTTTTCCACAACCTATATGAGAATGTGAATAGTCTCTAATTCAAGCAATCATGGCCTTCTGGACCAAATGCCCCTTCTTAATTCCAATTGACTTCAGAGTAGGTAGTGAGTGATTCACAAGGGTTAAAATCCAGAAGGTACAAAAATATTCATGTCCACAATTCTCCCCCTGTACCTGTCTTCCATCTGCTGAGTTCCCAATGTTCCCCCACTTTATGGGAAATCACTGTCTTTGGCTTCTTAAAAATGCTTCCAGAGTTTCCATGTGTATTTAAGAGACAGATACAAATATGAAACATTCTTTCATCTTTCACCTAATAAATAACACAGCATTTGCACCTTAATTTATATATATATATATATATATATATATATTTGTTTCCTTTTAGACTTTTTCCATGACAGTGTCTACAGAGTTTCTTTGCTCACTTTCTGCAGCTGCCCACTGTCCCTATATATATATATATATATGTTTCCTTTTAGACTTTTTCCATGACAGTGTCTACAGAGTTTCTTTGCTCACTTTCTGCAGCTGCCCACTGTCCCATTAAACAGGAACCCAGAATGGATTTAACCTACCCCCACTGCCCCCCGGAAATGGAAGGTGCAAGTGGCTGAAATATTCCGCTATTACAACCAACGCTTCAACAAAGAACCTTTATGCGCATTATTTATATAATAACTTAGATCTGCAGAGTATCCATACAATAAATTCCTAGAGATGGAATTGCTAGGTCAAAAAGTCCAAGTCTATATAAAGTAAAACAAAAAAACCCATTTCATCGTTTGCGTGCTCCGCGAACTTTCATCCAAACGTCAATAACTGATGATACACGTTTTCTCCTTGATATTAACTGCAATTCCCTCAATATAATAGCATTCTTCCCACTTCCTCCCAGAGCCCCCTTTGTCCCTTTGCCCATCTTTCCTGCCCCCTTTCTGCCTCTGAACTTTGCTTTTGGGCAAATGCTGCCCTTCTGCCCTGTTCTAAGCAGTACATCTCTCACGGGTTACCTGTGTCTTGTTTGACTGAAAGGTGACAGAGGTGGGTGTCAAGTCTGTCATTTTGATGAACATGATCAGATTCCACCTAATGGGGCTCCATCAGCTTTGTGTGGGGATAACAGCTTTCCAGAGACTTGTCAGTGGAGCATGTGACCAAACTTGGGATTTTTGCTATTCTTGTGGTGGTAGTAGAGTCTTGGTGTGGCGTTGTGGGCTAATGTGCTGGACTGCCACAAGGTCGGTGGTTCAAGCTCACTAGCCACTCCTTGGAAGCCCTATACGGGGTCACTATGGGTTGGAAACAACTTGACGGCACTTAACAACAGTGGTGGTTGTTGTGTACCACCAAGTCAGTTCTGACTCATAGCAACCTTGTATAAGGTTTCTGAGGCTATAAATCTCTATGGGAGCAGAAAGCCTCAACTTTCTCCCATGGAGCAGCTAGTAGATACAACTGGTAACCTTGTGATTAACAGTCCAACGTGATCTAGTAAGTGCAAAACGACACGTCAGTTGGAAATTGGCTCTTCCACACTGAGTGAGATTGGGCATCTTTTCTGCTACGGGCCACATGAGCTTTGTTTCCTGGGAATCATCTATGTTTGTTGCCCCTTTCACAAACAAGAGCCCTGGCTACTACACTCAACTGATATTTAGGAAGAACATGAAATGAAGACACTAGTTATGGTTCCTTCAAGCAGGAGTGATTCCTTCCAAAGGTCTCTGAGTGGCACAAATAGTTTGTGCTTGGCCACTAACCGAAAGGCTGGTGGTTCAAATCCATCCAGTAGTGCCATGAAAGAAATGCCTGGCAATCTACTTCTGTCAGATCACAGCCACTGAAAATCCCATGAAGCACAGTTCTATTCGGAAACACATGTAGTTGCCATGTGCTGAATTCAACTAAATGCCAACTGGTTTAAGTTTTGCTGATTTAGCTCCTTCCATTGGTGTTCTGAAACAGCTATAGTTTTTGTCTGCTCAGCAGGTTTTCCCCTTCCCACAGACCCTCTTTCTAACAGGAAATCGGAGCCACATGTTCCCTCACCCCAAAGGGAATGAGAACTTGACTCAGGTCTGGACTGAGAATCTTTTCCTCCAGATTGCTGTGATTGGTCCAGAAGCTATCATTTGACCTAAACCTGGCAAATCAGAAGCCTCGCTGAGACTCTTTTTCTGAGATTTACAGAGACAGGGATGTATCTTTCTTTCTGCTGGAGTCACTAGATTGAAAGACAACTTTGCTATTTCAGGGAAACCTGCCTGGATATGAGGCCAACACAGGAAGGCAACATTGAGGGGCGGAAAATAGGAGAGTGAGCCCTTGGGTCCCACCCTACCTGGGTCCAGGATTTACAAGCCAGTAAGTGCCCTCTTCTGCTTCTGACTGGATCTCTGCCCCTTGCAGCCAACCCGAACTCAAACCCACTGCCATCAAGTTGGCTATAGGGCACAGTAGAAGTGCTCCGTAGGGCTTCTGAGACTGTTGACCATTACGGGAACCGACAGCCTCATCTTTCTCCCACAGAACAGCTGGTTTGTTTGAGCCACTGACCTTGTATTAATAGCCCTGAGCCTAAACCACAGCACCCCACAGGGCTCCTTCTTAAACCGAAGAGGCCCCTAAATCAAAGGCCCACAAGCCTTGCACTCACCCTCTCGAGGCTGATGTCCAGCGCATCACACACTGTGATGGCAAAGTGCTTGGCCCTCTCAAAGCTCCTTTTCCCGACGCTGTGAGAGCCATCCAGCAGAAATAGGACATCCAGCGCAGCCGAGCACTGCATCACTAAGAGAGAGGGACACAACAGGCGACACTGCTCCCCTTCTTGCCTCCAAAGGCAGAAACGAGCTTGTGGTGGGTGGGGCTGTACAACAGGGAGACCACCACACCGTGGACAGTCCCAGCCGGAGCTGGTCCCAGAGACAGGGAGACATCAAGTGATAGTGGACACATCAAATCAACATCACTTCTAGAGCTCTAGGAGAGGAAGGGTCTCCTGGGCCAGGGAGGGACAAGCCAGAGCCTTGGTCTCAGCTCTCAGGGGCAGGGGTCACAATCTACTCACAGGCACATGAGGCAGGGTTCCCCAAGAACTAAAGTAGCGACAACCATTGCACAGAACATCTTCATTTTCTGTCTCACAGCCATACTGTGAGATTCTGTTCTTATCTCTGTCTAGCCAACAGGTCAGGAAGAGCGGCATAACCGGAAATCAAGGAACTTCCTAAGCTGAGAATCAAACCCAGGCTGCCTGGCTCCAGAGTTCACACTCCCACCCACCTCACCACAAGGACATGAGAACGGGGGAGTCAGAGAAGACACAGCAGGTACATGGAGCTAAGGAAAGACAAGAGAATTTCACCAGTGGAGGGGAGGGAGGGCCTCTGGGAATAGTCCCCATGTGGGAACACTAATTATCATGGAAGGGGAAGGATTACGGCAGGAGACGAGGCTGGTAGGCGAGACCGGGATCATGTCACGGAAACCTTGACACTCAGGGCAAAATCTGGCAGCTCAGGGCTTTCACCTAGAAACATGACTCCACTGGGTCCCAGTTGGGGAAATGACTTGGGCCCCAGCAGAAGACAGTGGGACCTGGGGCAGTGTCTGGAGGGTCAGCTTCCCTACAGTCAGTCACACAGAAGTGGAAATGGGTGTTTGGAGGATGAAAGACGAAGGACGAAGTAAAACCCGGGCTTACTTTTGCTGGCAGCTGAGATCTTCCCAATGGTCTCCCTGCTGACATGGACTTCCTGAAGAGGGAAGGACTCAGGCGCTAGGAGAGAAAATAACACGAGCAATCATTCCAAGGCAGAGCACTTGTGCGAGTACCACCGGCTGCCACAGGAGAGACGAGAGGCATGGGCAGGAGCTTGAAGACATGCTGTTAAGTGCCATCGAGCTAGTTCCAACTCACAGCAACCCTGTCTAGGGTTTCCAAGGAACAGCTGATGGCTTTGAACTGCTGACCTATGGTTAGCAGTCCAGTGCTTATCCAACAGCAGGGGGCTTCAAAATCTTCATGTAAAAATTTCATTATTCTTTAAATGCCATTTTTTACACACATTTTTTGAAGCACTTTCATTATTTGTATCTCTACAATTAACAAACGGATACGTAAACCCCCCAATGATCCCACCTCGACCACAAGGTCAGTGGTTCAAACCACCAGTTACTCCCTATACGAACAGGGTCACTATGAGTGAGAACTTACTCAGCAGTACTTAACAACACAACAAATCAAGTACATTAGTATGGAAACTTGGGTATTGTGAAGAGAAATATAAAAGAATGCATACAAAGGAACTACAGAGAGATCAAGATCCTGAGGAGATGTTCGGTCCTGGTTAGACATAAAAGCCAGGTCTGTCTCTGGGTTGCAGCCTTCTGGACCATCTCTACGGACCCTGTTGAGTCCCTCAGACAAAATATATCTCACCGCCCTCAAAACTAACCTTAGATGCCACCAGCCAGAGAAGCAGAGAAGAAATAAATTCCATAGAGAAGCTCAAGAACAAACGCATAACACGTGACAAAGTGATGTAACTCAAGTAATAAGACAACATTTTAAAGGTGAAGTTTAAGTTCTCGGATTATAAATCTCCCCAAGAACGGAGGAAAAATTAAGTTAGAAAAAACATTCTCACAGTAGAGGGGACTGCAAAATGATATAAGCCTTTTGGAAAGGAAGATGGACCGGTGAGTTAAGAGTCCCCAAAGCACTCACATTCTCTGATGCTGTAGTGCTACCACCTGGGAAAGGATTCTCAGGCAAAAACAATGTTAGGGAGGGAAACAACGCTCATCAAGACATTTTCTTTAATGCTATTAGTAATAGAGAAAGACTGGAAATCATAAACATCCAGAGGGATAGGGATATGAAGAAATGTTGATAAATTTGTTCCAGGCACTTAATACAATCAAGGGCTCAAACACGCTGGGCTAAGAAGTTCATGGGTAAATGTTTCTTTCCTTCGAACACTCTGTCAAATTGCCAGCGTGGTCTTTGAGCAAGCAGCAGCAATTTATAAGATTTGCTTTGAGGGCAAAGTGGGATACGCCAAGAAAACCACCCAGAGTTCATTCAGATTGTTGAGCCAAGCATTAGGGAAGGCCTGAAGATAATGAAGGCGGGTTCTGAAAAGCCAACACCCTTCTGCAACTGACTCACAGTAGACTCCAGAGAAAGAGGGGAGATGAATGCAGATGTTTTATAATGTAGAGTGAAACGCAGGTAAGGTGGGCAGAGCCAGGAGCAGGAAAGGCCAGAGGAAGAGGACTGATGAATGAACTTGACAATGACAGGTGGCTGGGAAAAGAGGTAAAAAGAGCAAGAATCCTGCCCGGCAGGGAAGTGGGGTTTACAAGATAATACAGAAAAAAGATCTTCTTGTGTATAAAAAATGGCAGCTTTCAAAGCAGAGGCTGGAGCAACACTTAAAACACACACACACCAATCATTTGGCAAATTGGTTTTCCATTAAGTGGAACTTTCTGCTCTTGCTCATAATTCCCATGGTTCCACTGCAGCCCACATCATATACTGTCCCATAATGCAGTGCTGTTCCCATGGAGCAGTTCCAGGCCTCACGCAGTCATTCACCAAGCCCAGACCAACTTTCTGCATACAGCATGTAGGCACGAACATCTTCCAAATGGAGCTCATGAATTATTGGCAAAAAGCCCAGTACCCAAGGAATCCCCAAGGCCTTGCAGAGAACAGCGAAGTACTGCTCCTTTTTAAGCACCGTACCTGCAGAGAAAGCCCAGCCATCTCCCAGAGCGGAACAGGAGGGGAGCTGCATGGCCAGACTTCACTCAGCAAGGAGCCACTCTTTGTGGCATGTGCCCAGGTTGAGTCAGGGTGACATCACCGCCTCAGGCCTCCGCAGAGGCAGCCTGGGGCAGGTGGCAAGCTAAAGCATGGCTGTGGTTACCTCTTCTAACCAATTTGGCAGGCTCATCTAAAGACATCTGCCTGGGCCTAGAGGCTTCCAGCTGGGGTTGATGCTAATGGGCAGGCTGGGCTGAGAATGAATAAAACCTTCTTACTTTACAGAGCAGAAAGCATCTTCTTTTTCTTCTCAGAGTAGTCAAGAGTGGTATCGGAGAAGTCGGGAGATCTGGATTTTTGTCCCAACTCTGTTACCAATAACTGTGTGACCTTGAACAAATCACACAGCCTCTCTGAGCCTCCTTTGTCTTGGCTGTCAAACCCAGGGATGGTCAGCAACAGACTCAGCCCAGAAGGTCACGTTTCATAACCAATTTGGGTTGTTCTCAGGCTCCAGGGTCTTCCTTCAGGATGTGACCTGGGAGTCACATTGAGATGCCTAGTGGAGGATAAAGAATCTGCAGTCTCTTTCCTTGTCCACTGGACATCCATAGGAGCTGGACACTGATTGTAAGAACTCACACAAAAGCACATGTCAGCCTGTGTTCAGAGTGCAGGGCGGAGGCCCAGGGATATAAGAGATTTCACTAAGGGGATCTGGCCTGATTTGGGGGCCACACAATTTAGGACCCCTGTGGTGGAAGTAAAGGATGATGGTCAGGACTGAAACGAGAGGGGGCTGCAACACAAAGGGTGGAGGGGAGAGGGGTACCAGAGGGGATGCAAGGTGGTCACAGGTCAGGCCAGAGAGGGTCTCCAAAGAGCAAAGGGATGTCATCTTTTAGGGGTGGGTGTAGCTGGAGAGGGAGTTCTGGTGTGGTGTTGCAGGCTAATGCACTGGACCGTAAGGTCAGTTTGAACTGCAAAGTCAGTGGTGCAAACCCACCAGTTGCTCCTTGGAAACCCTATACAGGGTCGCTATGGGCCGGAACCAACTCGACAGTACGTAACAACAGCATAGTTGGAGTGGGAGTCCTTATGTGACATTTCAGGATAAACAGTGGACTGCTAGTAGCACGGTCAGCGGTTCAAACCCACTAGCCACTCCTTGTAAACCCTATACAAGGTCGCTATGAACCGGCACTAACTCAACGGCACTTAACAACAACAACAACATAGGGGGAGTGGAGAGGGGCCTGGCATGATCAGAGGAGTCGAGTGGTATCAGAGCTGGGACAGGTTTGCTGGGTGGGGAATGACCCAGAAAGACAAGGTCAGGAGGCTACACCCCAGCAAGAGAGGATGGGCCTCGGGTAAGCGAGACAGCTGCAGATGGGCAGAGGGGAGGGATTCAAACGATCCTTAGAAGTTTCAATCAACAGGATTTGAAGCAAATCAATCCCCCCACCATAAAAACACCTTACCTGTGGTAAATAAGAAAATACAGATGGCTTCCAGCAACAGGAGAGAGGGCATGGTGATCTAGGGCCAAGAAAATAAAAGCAGTAATGGTTACTTGTGTGAACTCCCTAATTCACGTCACCACCAAGAAGATACCTGCTCAGACTTCCCCAGGACAGGACCCTGGGGGTCTCTTCTCACCACAATAATGTGCATAATAGTCACAAAAACCCACGCAAGACTTTTACTCCTATTGTGAGGTGCTGCATGATAATGCGCTGGACCGCAAGGTCGGTGGTTCAAACCCACCAGACGCTCCTTGGAAACCCCATACAGGGTCACTATGAGACAGAACCGACTCAACAGCACTTAACAACAACTCTGTGTGAAACACCGACCTTACATCTTCCCCAGAACACCAGTCCTCATCCCTGAACCTATCCCAGTTTCCTCCAGCCCTTGCGAAGATGCTCTTGACCATAAGTTAGGTCCTGGGTTCTAACCTTGCCTAGCCCTTGATGTAGCACAGTAGGATAATAAATCGACCATAAAGTCAGTTTGAACAGCAAGGTCAGCAGTTCAAACTCACCAACAGCTCCTTGGAAACCCTCCACAGGTTTGCTTATGAGTTGGAACCAATTTGACAGAAATTAACAACAAGAAGCCCTTGATGGGTCACGTGACCTTGGGTATTATCACACCCCTCCTGGGTCTCCTCTTCCTGAAAGAGTTATGAGTCTGGCACATTGAAGACTTGATTGATTGCCAATGCCCTCATTTTCTTTTCTTTCTTCTTTCTTTCTTTCTCTCTCTCTCTCTCTCTCTCTTTCTTCTTTCTTTCTTCCTTTCTTTCTTTCTTTTTTTGTAGCTTGAAAGTTTGCAAAGCAAATTAGCTTTCCAGCCAGCCATTTATATCCATTTTGTTGTGACATTGGTCACTATCCCCTCAGTGTAAGAACACTCTTTCCACCTCCGCCCTGGGTTCCCCATTTCCATTCCTTCCTCCCTTCCTGCCCCTTCCTGACTTTTGTGCCTTGTTTCTTGGCAAATGCTGATGCAAATCTCCTCATTTTCTGGACCCTCCTAGCAAGATTTTCTTTCCCCTAGCTAAGAGAACAGCATCCCAAGAAAGACTGTGCTTTCTAAATTATTTATAAACTGTAACATGGCTGCTGAGAGTACATAAATTTGTGTGTGTGTGTAAGACACACCTGAATTTAGAGATCATCCAAAGAACAGATTTGATACATTAGACACTAAAGACTGAAGATCAGAAGAGTTGTGGGATGACATCAAGAACATCATACAGGAAGAAAGCAAAAAGTCATTAAGAAGAAAAGAAAGAAGGAAACGATCAAAATGGATGTTAGAAGAAACACTGAAACTTGCTTTCCAGAAGAGATGCTAAAGCAAATGGAAGAAATGAGGAGGTACAAGAGCTGAACAGAAAATTTCAAAGATCATCTCAAGATTGTTGTTGTGGATGCCATAGAGTCGGAACCGACTCATAGCGACCCCATGCACAGCAGAACGAAACAATGTCCGATCCTGGGCCAACCTCACTACCGCTGCCACACTTGAGTCCATCAATGATGCCACCTGGCTGATCCATCTCGTTGGGGGTCTTCCTCTTTTTCTCTGACCCTCCACCCTACCCAGCATGACATCCTTCTCCAACGATTGTTTCCTCCGGACAATATGTCCAAAGTAGGAGAGACGAAGCTTAGCCATACTGGCTTCCAAGGAGCACTCTGACTGCATCAACTCGAGAAGACAAAGTCAAATATTACAACAAAATGTGCAAAGATCTGGAGTCAGAAAACCAAAAGGGAAGAACACACTCAGTATTTCTCAAGCTGGGGGAACTCAAGAAAAAATTCAAGCCTCGACGTTCGTTATTGAAGGATTCTCTGGATAAATTATTGAATGATGCAGAAAGCATCAAAAGAAGATGGAAGGATCAGAATCACTGTACCAAAAGGAAATGACTGATGTTCAACTGTTTCAAGAGGAAGCATATGATCAAGAGTCAATGATACTGAAGGAAGAAGTCCAAGGTGCACTGAAGGAATTGGCAAAGAGCAAGGCACCGGGAACTGATGGAATACAAGTTGAAATTTTTCAACAAACTGAGGTGGCCCTGGAGGCACTCACTCATCTCTGCCAAGAAATTTGGAAGACAACTGTCTGGCCAACTGATTGGAAGAGATCCGTATTTGTGCCCATTTCAAAGAAAGGTGACCCAACAGAATGTGGAAATCATCGGACAATCTCTTTGATATCTCATGCGAGTAAAGTTTTATTAACGTTAACACAGAATGGCTGCAAGCATACATTGACACAGAACTTCCAGAGGTTCATGCCTGATTCAGAAGAAGCCGTGGAACGAGGGATATTATTGCTGATGTCTGATGGATCTTGGCTGAATATCAGAAAGATGTTTACCTGTGCTTTATTGACTATGCAAAGGCTTTCCAATTGTGTGGATCATGACAAGCTATGGACAACATTGTGAAGTATGAGTATTCCGGAACACTTAATTGTGCTCATGAGGAATCTGTACATGGACAAAGAGTCAGTTGTTCAAAGAGAACATGGTAACACTGAATGGTTTAAAATTAAGAAAGGTGTGCAACAGGGTTGTATTCTTTTACCATA